AGTCACAGCATTCTGGAAAAGACCTCTGACTTTACACCTCCAACTGTCAACTACGAACTGCGTTATAAAGTACTGTTTCCGAGTAGAGAGGACTGGATCCTCCGGAAGAAGGAAACATTAAGAGCGGATAGTTGTTGGTTCACAGATGGATCAAAAACAACTTGCGGTTCTGGTACAGGTGTTTTCAGTTGCAGACCCAGGACAGAGATATCAACTTGCCTAGGAACCTATGCGACTGTATTTCAAGCGGAAATTTACGCTATTGAATTGTGTGCAGAGATATTGGAAGAATCCATCCTCATACACAAGTCAATAAAAATATTCTCGGACAGTCAAGCAGCGTTGGGAGCTCTTGGCTCCTACCGAGCAACTTCTAAATTGGTAGCAAATTGCCAAAAACGACTCTCCTCAATAGGAAGACTCAACAAATTGTCTCTGGTCTGGATTCCTGGCCATACTGGCAATGAAGCTGCCGACTCCCTTGCAAACGAGGGTGCTGCAAGCAGCTTCATCAGACTAGAACCTGTCATTGGCATCACTTCAGGCTTTGCGTAACAAAGATTAAACGCTTGGATGGCAAGAAGATTTATGGACTTCTGGCAGAATCTTCCAGGATTGGCTCACTCCAAGGCGTTTATTCAACCTTTGAAGCTTGATACCAAACAGTTGGACTGGATGAACTACGATGTCCAACAGACCTTACAGGTCACTGTCATTCGAATCATCATTTAGAGAGACTCGGACTGTCGGAACACAGTGTTTGTCGCCTCTGTTTGGAAAATGATGAAACAGCAGAGTACATACTTTGTTACTGCCCTACTGGGAACAGAATCAGGTTCTTTGACTTCGGCAGATCCGTACTCTCACCATCTGACCTGAAAAACCACTCACCATACAAACTAATCGGCTTCATTAAGAAACTGGGTTTATTTGGTCGAGTATGAATAGGCGTGAGCCACAATAAACTCTTGTGGGTTGCGGTGGAGGGTTGAATAGACCCAGTCACGTTGAACCTAACCTAACATGAATTTACAAAAGTAAATTTCTGTTTTTGTCGAACTTTTTTGGGTTTCTTTACCTTTCATAATCTGAAAAAACAATTGTAATGGAAAACGTATCGTTTCGAAATCTGTATAAGTTCACCATTACAATTTTTATATTTTTTCAGATTGTAGAAGGTTGAAAAATGATAATACTAACCAAGTTAGCATCATCAAATGACTAGAACTCCAAGTCATCTCCTGATGATGTAAATTTATTTAGCGAAATGCACGTCTGGAGAGAGCTTTAGTTCTGACATAGGAAAATAGTTTACATCGGTTTCATCATTTTCGAGTAGCAGAGATTGCAAGAAATTATACTTATTCTGAGGTCTTTCATAACGAGACCTCAGCTTCTTTCCAAAAGTTTTTGACTAGGTAGAACACAATATCTTATTGAAAAAATTTATTTGGTTTCTTTAACTCAGCTGTTACATGGCTCGGTAGTTTCTCAAGTTATCGAACCCAACGAGTTAGCACCAATGTTATTTATTTAATGTCTTTATTAATTATATTGCTGATTTTTTCCATCATATTGATGTTCACAGATGATCTCAAACTTTTCAGAACAATTAGATAACGTTATGATTCCGCATCAATGCAACGATAGATTGGTTACGCGGTGTTCCAAAAACAATTTACCATTGAATATTGAGAAATGTTGCTCTCAAAGTTTTTATAAAAAAAAAAATTAAAAGAATGGTACTTCATACTCATTGGCCAGGTTTTAGCATATGTTTCTTCTGTGAAGGATCTGGATGAACAACTTCAATTTTCAGACCATGCAAACCATATTGTGGTGAAAGCAGCAAAATGCTTTGGATTCATTATTCGACATGGCAAACATCAATGTCTTAAAGTCATTAGGATAGTTTACATGGCTCTAATATCCTAATATATTTTGCATATGTTATATTGTGGTCTAAAATGGGTATATCTATGTGGTCTAAAATGGGTATATCTATGTGGTCTAAAATGGGGATATGTACTGAATGAAAGGAAAGAAAACTTTTATCCAATTTTCATATTTGAGCTACCGAATGGCCAAATTGATGATGATGATGACTTACATAACCCTATTAATGAGACACTTCAACTCCTAAAGGAAAGAAATTTTGATTAACTGGGTTATCTCTGAGCAAATTCAATAATAGTTTCAAGTGAGTAGGTATGCATGAATTATCAACTGCATGGTATACCAATATTATTACTTTTTGTATTTACAATATTACTGGAGTTTTTTCCCAACACCAAACCGTTATTTTTAACACCTCGACACGTGTTTCGATCACCAAGTGATCATCTTCAAGACGAAGATCAAACATAAGTTAATGTAATGTTCTATATATATATGGGGGTGATTCTGTGAAATGAATAAATAAATAAATTTAGTTAGCGAAACACGAGTCCAGAGATATATCTTTAGTTTTAGTACTATTGCAGTGATCTATAGCCCTTTCTACATCTGTATAAAGTTCTCCATTACAATTTTTGTTTTTTTTCAGAAGGTAGAACATAAAAGTCAAGAAAAGGTCAATAAAAATTCCTGATTTCCTCCACAAAAAATTACTTTTTAGGTACAATGAATAAATACCATATTCAGAACTTTTTTTCCTTTATTTCATACCTATATCTGCATTTTAGTTAAATGGATCCTATAAAAATGTGAGAAAACAACATAATTTGTGTAATGCAGAATTAGTTTTATCAAAAGACAACAAATATATCCTCCTGGTTGACATTTTTTAAACAGGTGTTTTCAACCCAGAAATATTTTGTAGAAGTTGCTCGAATTGACATACTCAAAATAAGTGTAGAATTGCTTTTGTTTGAACCCAAGAGAACTTTAATATGTTGTTACTCTCGTCCTAACCAAAAACTAAAGTTGTGGGATTTGTATAGTGCCCCATGCAAAGTATGTTTTTTACAGTGATGGGAAGTATTGGTACAGCGTTTACTTTCAACTACCAGTATTTTTTTGTATGCTGTCTGTATTAATAAATTCGGATAGTCTAAGATAGATATATGTTCTGGAATCAGGTGTTTGCTGTTGTAAAGTGTCATTTTTCATATAAGGACCGTCCTTCAAAAGCAAATTGAAATTTTGTACTGGGTTTGAAATGGGCCAATGATGGATTTGCACTCGTCTGGAGAAAAATAATGCCTAATAAAACCAAGAAAAAATAATTCAAATTTTAGCTTGTTGAAAAACAAATTTGCAAGGAGCAGTTGACACACTATTCTGGGAAAAGATACGGCTCAAAAATTGAATATTCTCCAACTTACCGCTTATGTAATAAACACTACCATGGACCAGAAACTTAAAAATTTGACACTCACAGTGTTAAGTCAATTCAATTCACACTTTTTCGTTACAACACAAAATTAACATCATTGGACACAAATATAAGACGCGGCCATATCCTTTTCACACATGTTAGTTCAGCTGAAAACCAAGGCGTATCGCTTGCGATTTCGCCGATGCGATGAAGTGAAAATATAATTTCGTTGTTATTCCGCCACCTATTTCCAGGAGGCTGAAATAGAATAACAGCAACCTGTTAGTTAGCAAACCAAATCGTCATAAGCGTTTCATAAGTTATGGCGGCATTAGTGATGCTTTTCTTTCTTCAGGTGATCAGTGGCGTATTTTACAAATTATATGGAACGCGACGTGAGGAGCCACGAATTTCAAGGGGCTTTTTCTGTTGAGAACTAGTGACTTTTGTTACTGTGAAATTGAATTTAAAAAAATATGGCGAATGATGTATCAATATTTTTATCTATTTATCTATTGTCCTCAACGAACAACTTGATTTAAATAATAGTCCTCTCCTGAACCTATAATCCAGATCCCAAAACCTACATTATATTGAAAGCTTTGTTATGTTCATGGATTTTACAGGTATATGCAACGCAGGTACCGGTTATCAGGTATATCAAATCATTTATGATAGAATAAGCAACATAGGTATAAATGTAATCAGCTAGTTTTGAAAATGGTGTAATAGCCGAAACCGGTCAACAATAAAGAAATATAGTGGAAAATAGACAAAAGTGTGTTTTTGTAGTGTATCCTCAGTGAACATGAATTTCCACAAAATAAACAAGTCGTCAATCGAAGAAGCAATATTTTTATGTATATGAATCAATTACTTTCATTGTATTAAATAATTGCCTTACTCTTAAATGTTTAACCCATTAGAAATTGTTGAAATTATTGATATAATTTGTAATAAAACCCAATTTTGTTTGCCTCTGAAAAAATCTATGTTCAGAATGGATGAGATTTAATGTGTATCTAATGAATTATGTACTCTGATGATGCTTATCTTATATTCGACTATATTAGGTTTTTTGATTGGCAAACATTTAAGGATTTTAGTAAAGTGATTAATTGTTTCAATGTAGGTCTTGCCGAAAATTCTTAAAGGTACGTTGTTTGCCAATATCTTGATGGATTACTTATAAATATTTGTGATAGTTATGAATAAAAGTGGTAAGAAAATTGAGTTTCATTTCTCATTTTTCATGATGATTTCCTACTACGTTTTAGTAACGTCTATATCCATCAATTTATTGACATAGAAACAGTTTACAGAATGAAAAATTAATTCAAAGTATTCTTCTCCCACCCTTACACAGGGACAAGAGTTTAAATATGAACTCAAAACTCTCCATTTTTCAGAGGTTTTTAACTTCATTCTGTAAAGTATAGAAATTGATAAATTCAAAAATTGTCAATGTCAAACTTGATTTCAATAATTCTACTCTGATGAAAGTTACCAGATAATCATATTTAGTACCTCTGGATGAATGAATATGTGATAGTTAATCACTATAAACTATATAAGTGAGTTGTGATATGGTCTGTCAATTATCAGCCAGTTCCATTCGAAGCTATGAAGCATGTGTTTTTTGTTATAAAAAATGCAGGTATTAGGAAGAATTTAATATTGATTGATTTCACTTTTACAATTATCCAAAAAATGAATTCAAATATAAAAAAATCACATTTTAAAATTATTCTTATACTAGACAGATTTGATGATAGTACCAATTGACCAATTCTGTTTTACTGAAAGTGGTCCCTCGATCTTAACACCTTCATCTTTATCAATGATGCCCAACTGATATTTGGGAAAGCTCCTGGCATCTCTGTAGAACAAAACTTCCAAACACTTTTCTACGAGGGCTCTGGCTTCAGCTTGATTGAGGTTTGGTTTTTTATCCATTGCGTCACGAAGCATTGGAAGTGCAATATGTGCTCCATATCCAGTACAAATTGCCTTATCGACATAGGCTGTTCCTAGTTTGTCTACAGTCCCAAGGAAGGGTTCACCATCCTGCCGGTATACATTTTTTTTTATTTATTCAACAAAACGAGAGAATAAATTATAATAAACATAAGCCATTTGTTCTAAGACTTGTACAGTGTACCCAATCTAGGCTGTCAGTATCAAAAATCCGAAATGGTATGGGGTATAGAAAGCTTCCCAGATAATTAGAGAATAAATTATAAATGATATTTATGACTCAGACATGTAACTCCTGCCAAAAACTATTGAGAGTATGATTCCTCACCACTGGGCTTATTTTTGAAAACTAAAATGTTGAACAAAAGAGGACATGACAGATTAAAAAACTACAAAGTCACCACTACTCTTTGGCAATAGCCGTAGATGGAAAATAATATTATATTTTCAAGACATTGCAAGATTGTCACTAAACAATTTTACAAAAAACTACGAATCGATGAAGGTAGTTATAAAAATAGTGCAGGTAGATTTGGAAATGAGGTATCTGGAAAACAAAAAAACTAAAGGAAAGTGAAATTAGAAAACTCTGAAACATTAAGTAAAAACAAAAGCAACAAGTGGTCAAATCTTCCAAAAATATTACTTCTAATTAAGTCAAGGGAAAGAAGGTGAGAAATAGAACCTAGAAAACATAAGATGAACAGAAGTGCTAGTGGCTAATAATCCAACATCAACAGTAAGCACTCAAAAAGGAAAAGAAATAACATTGCAAAAAGATGGGACAGCAACTTTGAGAGCCAAGCAAGTAAAACGACAGATTGCAAATAAAAATGGAAATGTGGAAAAACAGAATTACTCTAGGCAGTAAAGACATAAGAATCGCCTCAAAGGTTCCATTGTTCATTTTCTTAAGTGATGGTTAAATGTAGAAATCAGGGAAATACACGTATCATTGTATATTAGTTTTCAACATATAAATTACAATAAGAGACTGATTTCCTCACCTGAATTCCACCAATCACAAGATTATTCCAGAAAGGATCAAATTTGCTCCTTCTCTGGTACATAATCCTTGTAAGCCAACAATACATTGACTTGGGTTTGAATTTCAAACCATCGTCCAAACATTCTTCATCGATTCTGAAAAAAAAAATTGAGTGTGACAATTTTCATCATCTAAAACTTTTGATCTTCAATCATGAAAACTGTGAAGTAAAAACCTAGTTCAATTTGAAAAAATCAAGAGTGTTAACAAAAACGCAACAACAAAAACGCAACACATTTTCTTCAGCTGTGTAAAGACACGCCTAATTAGTGCTGCAAATAAGTGTTTTATCAGACACAATAAGGGTTTCATTCAACTGTTTATTATTATCAACTTGAATGTACTAAATAAGATCTCCTTCAATAGAGGATCTGGTCAAGAGTTATCAATGAATATTTTTTTTATGAATCACTGATGCTTTTGGTTCTTGTTCAGTTAAATAGAAACATAGTTCAATTTTTGCTGTTCAAAAATTAAATTGAGTTAATAACTCTATACAAGCAATGAGTTTGTAGATAAATATAATTGCATGTCAGGTCCTATGATTTTGTAATGATGAGAGTGAAAATCTATTTGACAAGTGATCTTTATCAATGTCTTATCCAAAAACTCCAACTTTGTAAATGACATATTTCAAAATATGTTGCTGAACACGTGTGTGTGTGAGACACATATACATACTCTAATCATGATTTTTACAGCTAGTCAAAATATGTACCAACAGTTTTAGTTACATCCAATCACTTTTTAACCCTTCAAGTTCGAATGAATATTTTATTATAATCCATAAATTTTGTTTTCAATGTATACTAATGGATTTTTTGCACCAATCTATTGAGCAGTCGTATCAGTCTCAAGTAGCCAGCAGTCAAATAAATACTTAAGTATTAAATTATTTCTGATGTCACTGACAGATAACAAAAAAAGAAAGTAGCCTTAAATCATTTCTTTAAGGAACACTAACTAATGTCAATGAAAGTCTGTGACTCAAGTTATTGAGGTATGGTTTGATCTGAAACAACTTTTGTCAACAATATTTTGTGAGCAAATTTATCAAAGGCGAAGTTGAAGGCATTTGAAAAATATATGGATGTTCAGGAAGTATCAGCCTACTTCATAACATTTCGAAAGAAATATTACTTACATTTTCTGATCTATGAATGATTTGACATATTGGAAATCAGCGTAATCACCACCAGCTCCCAGTATAATATTGGAGTTGACTTCAATCACTCTGGGACAATTTCTATATCGTGCCAAAGATCCATAAGAAGCCAAAAGATCTCCTGCTATCAAAACCCCTTTGTCGTACGCAATTGCGACGATAGAAGTTGCCGTTGTAACTGGAGACCTACAGAACATTAAGGGTTTAATGCAATTCATTCAAAAAGTTTGGTTAACTTACTGAGTATGTGTGAAATAATCATTGGGTTTCACTTGGTGGCCTGGAAAATTGTAAAAAGATCCTGGTGCTGGGCCATTATTCCAAAGGGGTGGTGCATCAGACAGTGAACTGAACATTTTCCTAATATAATTTAAAAAACTAAGTTATGATTTGAATGACTTTCAAGTTTCTATTTGAGAAACAGAACTAATTGAATCGAAACTGTCAAATTAAAAATGTCAAGTGTTAACTGTCAACTGTCTAGTAGAGATACAAGTTAGCATTATACTCACAGAATACTGATTTGTTTCTGTAGTCTGTGATTATACTGTTGACGAAATTAAAGATAAGAGATAATGTGAAATTCTGGGTTTTTATCTGTGGAAATGAAGATCCCGTTCATGCTTATCTGAATATTAGCGAATTGCAAAATATGAAAATGACCATTGCATTGAGCGTTCATACTTGTACGGCATATTTTCATATAGTTTATTTGCTGTCAGTTGTCATTTTCTTCAAATGAATAACAACCAAAAGTTTTTCCCGTTCCACTTGCCTGCAAACGTTACTGTCGTAAACTCAAGTGGAATAGATTATGGAACGTTTTGGGCGTCCATGAAGTAGGAAGTTTTAATGAGATTACGTGAATCTTAACAATAACTTTCAATAATTGGAAACTAACTTTATTTATATTGAAAAAGTAGTATAAATCATTAAACAAATTGGAGATTTGTAGATGCGTCTCAATGGTGCTCCAGAAAGTAGTTCATCTAGTTCAGATGAAGAATGAAATGCAACTTTATAAAATTATACTCGTGAGAACCGAAAACTTATGCCACGTATTATCGATTATGAGAATGCATTTCATTGTTATTGAGATGAAGAATTCAAAAGTCATTTCAGGTACATGATTTTCTATCACATATTACACTGTCAATTTTGAAAATGTCATGTCTAATTGCTCACTAGATTATACTCTACATTTACGTTACTCTTGAATTTACTTCATTATGTGTAAGTAGTTATTCCATTGATTACTTATGAGATTGAATAATGGAATAAGTTAAGAAATTAGAAATTAATTATGAATGACAGATAAAATTTATTCCATATTTCAGAAATTGCGCCGAAATACTCTCAACGTCCACTTCGACCCACCTCTTCAAAATTTATTATTTATGAACATTATTGTATTCAAATATAACAAAATCTTAACGAACTCAAAAACAGACACTGATGTGGTGTGGCGTCTATTCAAACTTTACGGCAGTTGCTGCTAAAACAGTAAAATATGTCCAATTCCACTGCTTTTGCAGAAGTTGCCGCCCACGAAACTACACCTTGAAGCGGCCCTGTCTCTGACCTTGCACAATGTCAAGTCAGACTGTAGTGACGATCTAACAACCCAATATGTTGTGGTTTATGCTATTATGTTGGAACTGTTTATGATAATCAAAATTAGTCGTTGAATACAGAACATATCGCGTAAATCCAAAAACAGTTCACAACTGTCCCACTGATTTTGAACGATCCGAAGTAGTAGGTACAAACTGAGAAGTAGAATAAACACAATTGACAATACACTGATACATTTGCATTGTTTATTTGTTTTTCTTCTCTTCATGTCGTTTTAAGCATACGAACTCACTAGTGTTGAAAATGTTACAATGATTTTTCACTTGTTTTGGACAGGATTGTGCAGTATATTTGGCTATTCTGCTTTCATAGCTTTTCTGCTATTGAAAAACTATCCATCGGCTGTACTGGGATTACTTTCAGGTACATACTTTATTATTTCATGTTACCTTTTATCTGTGTTTATTATTTTTAGATATTTTCTAATATAACATACATTTAAAGAAAATGTTCACATAGTATTTCCGAAATTAAGAATATTGGTCAATTCAATTTATAGTCAGTCACAACAGAGGTTATATATCGAAAAACAATATTTACCCTTTCTCGAAAAAAAAAATTGATTATTTTACATTTCTTGTTATTGTCGATACTGTTATCGTTCATATATACCTACCTAAACTAACATACCTATGATAGGTATAAATCGTTATAAAAGTAGTAATTAGTGAATTATTTTGTGTAAATCCGGGCATTTGATTCTTAATTAATACTGTGTTGAGATTTGTTACTCCTAATTCAACTAACGAAATATTTCGTAATATATGATTTATAGTTTGATTTTCTTGATAGTTTACTTTCTTTTCTGAAAATATGCACAGTCAGTGAATTGAAACAACACTAACATTATAATCACTAGATTGTTTAATTCACCGTTGACAATTATTCAACAGTTGCTTGTTCTTTTCCGAGGAGAGAAAAATAAATAATCGGCCAAATTTTCAGAAAGTATTATCTCACTTTGTTAAATTAAAAAAAATTTCGCCCAACGTGGGGCTCGAACCCACGACCCTGAGATTAAGAGTCTCATGCTCTACCGACTGAGCTAGCCGGGCTTATACAGAAGTTGTTGGGAATGCCATTGTTCACGTTAACGATGGTATGTATTTACTCCACTTGGAGATATTCGACTCGGTGTAAATTTGAAAAAGTCCAAAATTCATAATTATTCCACCGCATCAATTTGATTTTCCAAACTAGTTGTTATTAATGTGTCTATTTTTTTTCAAGCAGATTTGAGTAGGAGTAGGGCCCATTAATTGGGTTATCCTAAAGGAATAATGGTCCAGTAATAGCATTCCCAAGAATACCAGCTCAAATATACTTTTTCTCAGGATACTGCATAAACTTCCCTGAAAAGTCGCGGATTTTCATCGCTCAGAAGCGACAATATTGTTCGTTAACATGCCCATTAAGAAAAAAACGTACATTCATCAGTAAAGCAAATATTGAGGTTTTTTCACTTATTAAATCTACCAATGTTTCAATTCTCCTGTCGAAATTATCGTCATAAACCTGTTGAAGAATTTCCATTTCATACGAGTGAAATTCATTCGAGTTAAGTGCTTCCCTTACATTTCTATTTGTCATCTCATAATGCGAAGGTTATTGGGGGTTCTGCAGTAAATGTGTGTTTGAAACTCGGGATCGCCTATGCCATTACTATTGTAATAGATCCGATACTCTTGGGACGTGTGTATTAATTACATCGTTACTTACAATCGAAAAATTTTGTAATCTATTACTCTTTACCAAAAAAAAAATATTTGTACAGATTAATGGACACATGATCTATGGGTGTTCTGTGCCACAAAGTAATGAAAATATAAAATTTGTTCCTGATTCATGTCGTTGCACAGAACACAAATATACATTGTAATGAATACAACAGATCACGAAAGCTGGTTAACGGAAAAACAGATTTTTAAACAGAAAAGTGTTACCTATACATTAGCCAAGGCAATATCTATTTTCGTTTTCGTATATTTTTCCAAATAAATCAAGTCATGCGGAAAGAGCAGTTATTTAGTGAATGATTTATTGAAACGTTTTCAGTGGGAACACTGTGGAACACTGAAGATATTTTATTAGCTTCCATAAATTGGTACCAAGAAACTCTCTTCGAGAGTCAATGTAATCCGCAGGTAACCACACTAAAATTGATTCCGGACTAAAAGTCAATGAATCATATGAAACAATTTCAGTTCATTTCATTTTTTTGACTTGATTACTCTATATGATTGCCATTAGGATCAGTTCTGAATGTACTGGTGATCGTATTTTCCATTTTTGAGTTTTATTTTCAGTTTGTTCACTGATATACTACGAAAGCAAGTGTATCGAATAATCAAGGTGACAACTGTGTGTGTGTGTGTGTGTGTGTGTGTGGGAGAGTATTGACTGACACTAATGACAAATGAATATAATAACCAACCCGGAAAACAATGTGCTATAAAAGAAATCTAGATATGGTCGATTTAACGTAAATTGGCCTCGAAAAGTAATAGATTTTCAGCAAAAATTTTGTCCGCGGTAGGCCCTTGGATACTTAAAAATCTATTACTTTCTATTACTATTAATTCTGAGTTCTGAGAAAACGTTACCAATTGTTTAAGCCTCCATGCAACACTGTTAAAATTCTCATTGGACTGCTTTATCCAAAACACGGCGATTATTCCATTTTTTGTTCGCAATGCAACCCGTTTCACTCAAGTTAGCAACTAATTCCAAGATATATTTATAATTTGAATTACTATTGGGATATCTTTCACTGAAAATTGTTGCCGTTTTTCTTGCGCATCATCGACATTCCTCATAAATCAGATCTATGTTTAAATTTAAACACCATTGTTAAACATAATTTAATAAACGCTCAACCCCTAATTCGCAAAACTAATTTGGCAACGAGAGTGTTGGATATTTCAAATTTTATTTCAATTAAGGAATTTTAATTTTTGTTCTAGTTCTATTTGGTACCCGGATTGCTTCTTGTTCGCTGGGGTTTTCTTCACAAGTTGGAACTTTTCTGTAGTTGAAACAAAACCTATCCCACACCAGGGTTTCATATATGTTGTAGAGTAACGTTGAAGTTAATCGTTTCATATAAAAATTCCATATAGACTCCCGGAATTAACACTTTCTATGTAATCTCATAGGACTTTGCCATAAAAAATTCATCGAATTAACTGCATCAGTGCGACAAATATTCAAAACAAATGGGTTCATGCACTGTTTATCTCTACTGAAATTATATGTAGTTTAAATTATAAGTATTTTAATACTCATTTCAGGAACAACTGATGCTGTTACATTTTTTATTATATTCTTGAAGAGACGAAAAATACTGCATCTTTGGTATAATCGGGACGATTTGAGAAAAATATGTCGCTTAGCCATAGTGTCGGCTACCCTTGGCTTGTTGAACTTGGGATACCACATTACGATTCAAGCTTTCTATAAAACACGTAAGTTGAAATATGTGATGAAATTGGCCGATACTTGATGACAGATTTATGTCTGTCATAATATTTGAGATTAAATAAATTATGAGAGTAATATTGAATAACAGTATATTTTATGCATGTCACAAAAAAATATTTTGTTTTTCCAGCTATGTTACCACCAGCTAGTAGTGAGGTTATATCTATTGTATGGTCATTCATTTTGATGAGGAGTGGAATTGTTTTAATGTACTATGCTATTGTTTATCAAAAAAGCGAGGATGTTGGACTATTGCAAGATCATAATGAAGGACACGAAGAAGAAACAAGGGACGATACCATTATAAGTGTGCCAAGTACTTCCTAATGTATACGATACCATAAGAAATATCTAGACTATATTATATTTCTATACGATCATTTATTTCATTTCATAAAAAAGTTTCTAGAAAGCATAAGAAAAAACATCAGTGATGTCCTCATGGATCGAAAACAGATGCAGCACACCAGATGACTTCTACTGTCCAACAGTGCTGAGAATAGGGCAATCATGATTCAAATCAAATTAAATAAAATCTCTTTCTTTCTGCTGGATCAGTGCTAAGCACAATGTCATTGAACTCTTTTTTCACTGCTTTCCTAATATTTTCATTGAATACCTCATTAATCATGTTAACACCATGCTAAAACTAGAGCGCTATGATGTTGGAGGAAAAGCCAATGATCTTATAAAATCTCACCTCAGCAACCGAACACAAACATCTGAAAATAATTTCAAACCTTTGGTATACTACTCCGAAATGGTACAAACTGTCATAGGAGTGCCTCGGGGCTCCATACTTGGTCCAATTCCTTTCTTGATATTTATCAACGACATAAGTCCCCAAATAGACATCAGCTCAGTTTTTCTGTTCGCTGACATCTCAGTTGTTGTGTCAGAGAGGGATATTTATACTTTAAATGAAACATCTAATGTAACAGTGTATCGAGTTGTTGAGTGGTGTGAAAAGAAATGTCTTATAATCAATAATGATAAAACCAATTATATATATATATATTTCAGAAACGGTACGGAAGCCCCCACTATATATCAATATAGACAATTCCGAAATGGATGAAACATTTTCCTCCAAATTTTTAGGGATTGTGATAGATAAAGAATTGCGTTGGACTGATCAGGTAAAAGCAGTAATGAGTGAATTAACGTCAGCTTGTGTCATAAGATACCTCAGGGATCACATAAGTATTAACAATATCAAAATGTTTTATTTCCATTCCATTAATGTCCATTCAGTGATTGATTATAGCGTAATATTTTGGTATCATGCACCAACATTTAAGGATATATTCATCTGTCTGAAAAAAAATCATAAGAACTATGCTTAACCTGAAAAATGATAACTCCTGCAGACAATTATATTTTAACTTGTGAATTATGACAGATATTTCAAACAGATTGTGCCTACATATGAAATATTGCAATATTCGCTCAAAAATACCAGCACAAAATTCCTGCAAATAATCAATACATTTTTCAATATGGTATATTACTAGAGGAAGTAAACATCTACGCATTCCACTATATACATAGAACAAGTCTATTCGGGAAAGGTCCGTACTATAACTGTATAAAAATATATAATGCACTGCCTCCAAATTTCAAAGAAATCAATACCATGAGTTAGGTTAGGTTAGCAATAACGTGTTAGGAATCACACTGTGAAAGGTAAGACCTCGTTAGTCCTCAGCTCGCACAAGTTTCGACTTTTGAGGGTTGTCGTTTGTAGGGGTGCGATAGCTGGTTTACAGAAAAACATGTTTTTTATTTTTTTTAGTATCTTCAAACAAACTTTGAAAAAATATCTGATTGGAAATCCCCTATATTCACTTGCCGAATATTACAATGTCTGTATGAGTTATATATGCATACTTTTTTTAATTTTTTGTAACATCCACAAATTAACGTACCTACTCTAAGTGATGATATATATTTTTACATTTTACTCGTAATTTTGATGAAATTTCAAGTATTTACTTATATATGTATATGTGTGTTTGTAANCACTTTTTCAATTTTTTTCAAAAAAAAAGTTGAATTTGACAAACACTGTGGGTCGCAGTTGGCCGCATCATTTTAAGTTAAATTCAAAGCACCATATGGTGCGCACTTTAATGGTGACACTGTATATTAATGTGCTCTGCTTTGTAACTGAATTCAAAACTGACGTGATCTGAAACAATAGCATTTCATCAGGCTCCTGAAAAACGTCATATTGGACATATTAGACTCTATAGACAGACAGTAGGTGCTCCAATGGGTTCCGCTTTATCACCTGTCATCTCCAATATATTCATGCTGTATTTCAAAACCAAGGCCCTGACCTCATGGATATGAAGAACTTGACCGTTTTGTGGCATACATAAACGAACTCCACGAGAAAATCAAGTTCACTATAGAAATAGAAAAAAACAATGAGTTAGATTTTTTGATTTACTAGTTATAAGAAAACCCAACGGATAAATTCAGCATACAGAGTACAGGAAACATCCAAATCTGAACGCCTAACAGACTAAGACAAGAAATATCAAGTAACGAAAGCCATACAAAAAGCTCTTCAGAAGAATGGATATAAAAAACATACAATTCAGAAAGTACTTGTGATGCACTGTTTGGAACCTTTGGTGTAGTAATGAATATTACTGGAGCTTTTTCCCAACACCAAACCGTTATTTTAACACCCCGACTCGCGTTTCAGTCACCAAGTGATCATCTTCAAGAGGAAGATCAAACTGCCATCTTCCTCTTGAAGATGACCAGTTCATGATCGAAACACGTGTCGAGGTGTACAAATAACGGTTTGGTGTTGGGGAAAAAACTCCGGTAATATTCAATTTAGAAAGTAACAAAATAAAATGAAAAACAAAGAAGAAACAAACACAAAGGAAACCAAAGCCATCCTGCTGTAAGTCAGAGGTGTTACAGATAAAATAGGAAGCATTCTAATATGACACAACATTAAAACAGCCTATAAACAACCAGAAATTCTTTGAACAACCCAAAAAATGAAGTTAATCCAGAAAATCAAAGCATATATAAAATCGCGTTGGCTTTTCTTCTAACTAGTACGTCAAGAAAAAGTAACTCTTTTTTTTCTATTTTTGTGGTGAACGGAATTTTTCCGTGGAGTGAGTTTGAGTATGCCACGAAACCGTCCAGTTCACCACAGAAATAGAAAGAAAGAAAGAGTTACCTACCTTTTCTTGACGTACTAGTTAGAAGAAAACCTAACGGAGAAATTCAGCACACTACAGGAAACAATACTCATCAAGAGGTGCCTGAATTCAGAGTCACATTATCGTCCTGCACAAATACAAGCGGTAGCCAACACACTTGACCTTACACACCACCAGATCTGAACGCCTAACAGACGAAGACACGAAATATCAAAAATTAAAAGAAATACAAAATTCTCTTCAGCAGAATGGATATGAAAAGCATACCATTCACAAAGCAACACAACAATTTTTCAAGACTGGCGCATAAAACAGACTGAATTTGGCCGATGGCATGAGTTATGTTGGGTTTGTAGACCGCTGTGGTTTGTGGATTATTCGCATACACTTGACTTGGGACTTGAGAAAATCCCATAAGAGAAAGTCTAACGAAGTCGAATCTCACATCACCTCCACATGGCATGAACTGTGTGGCATGTAGAGTCGTCCTGTTGAAACCACATGTTGGTGTCCTAAATAACCACCAGTATGCTTATCAAACGGGCAAATCGACAGATTCAGCATTAAACAACCTTGAGAAAATATCCCAAGGAGGAGATTGCGGTTCCTGTATTTCTTGATATTGAAGAAGCATAGGATTGTCTCTGGCTAGGAGGGGTATAGAATTGATCATAATTGGCTAGATCTATGCCATGCTAATAAACAGAACTGCAACTACAACTCTTCAAGGCGAGGCTATCAGGTTCAGGGTCACCAGGGGCTGCCCTCAAGGTGGGGTACTATCTTCCCTTTTGTGGTCGCTCTCGGTGGATAATCTGCTTGATGCCCTCGACAGAAGAAAAGTCGATCTGCAAGCTTATGCAGATGACCTTGTCATCCTGGCAAGGTTCACGTCGGGAAGCGTAGCTTTTAATATCCTCCAAAGCGCGTTGGACTTTGTTCACAATTGGTGCCTGAGGGAGCAGATGTCTATCAACCCCAGCAAAACTGTGATAATCCCCTTCACCAAGAGGAGAAAATTGGACGATCTAACGCCACTTTCCCTCAATGGTGTGGTCATTCCGTTTGGAACGGAGGTGAAATATCTTGGTATTGTCCTAGATAAAAGACTCACCTGGAACGCTCACTTGGAAAAAGTTTTACACAAAGCCAGACTGTCTCTATGGACATGTCGAAGGATTTGTGGTAAAGCTTGGAGTTTAGGTCCCAAACAAATACATTGGATTTATGTGATGATTGTCGGACCAATGATCACTTATGGTACAATTGCTTGGTGGCCGAAGGGTTTACAAAATACTTCCCAAGCGAAGCTCTCTGGCTTACAGAGACAGGCTATCAGTGGTGCCATCAGTACCACACCGTCAGCGGCCATGGAGATCCTTCTAGATCTACCTCCTCTCCACATTTTTCTGGAGAGAGAGACTGGATGGACTGCATATAGACTTGTGCACATTGCCAATTGCCAAATCAATTTAATGCAGAGTGCAACAGACTGTTGGTTGACACTGGAAATCACATCATTCTGGAAATGACCTCTGACTTTATGCCTCCAACTGTCAACTACGAACTGCCTTATAAAGTACTATTCCCGAGTAGGGAGGACTGGATCCTCCGGGAGGAGGAATAAGTTCGATAATTTTGTTTGTTCACCTACCCATTCATCCAGAAATAGGCCTCTTCGCTAAAATCGCTGAAAATTATTTTTCGATGAAAATTAGGGTCAGTGGCCAACTGCTCCAGAGCAGATTCAGCGAACACACTTCGTTTTCTATGGTAGTTCACCTTCAGTTCCTGGGTCAGTTGAATTTTGTACAGGTAGGTACAGGCTCAAGTCACGACGCAAAATTTGCAAAGTTGTAGTCTACGAAAGGCTTCGGATTCTCCTACACACTCTCACAGACAGCGGCGATGTTTTCGGCAGATCGTTTCATCGATTTACAGGTATCGATCGATCGTTTACTGAACCAGTGGACTGAACCTTATTCAACACATTGCGATTAGTCCTTTAGGTTAGGAAGATTATAGCGATCGTAAAATGGACGAAGCGCGCGGTGAGTTGTCCAAACAGAACACTCATTTTGATAAAACAATTTTATTATTTGAATAAACGACAACTAATTTGACAGCTGTAGCTTCATCAGCATGGCCATTGTTAAAGTTCGGAAGACCCTGTTTAAAAATGTTCTGTTAACCAGCTGTCGCCCCCCTACGAACGACAACTCTCAAAAGTCGAAACTTGTGCGAACTAAGGACTAACGAGGTTTTACCTTTCAACATGTGATTCCTAACACGAGTTAAACGATCGTCTGGCCTTGCGGCTCGAACCACTGGTTCACACAGCGGTCGACTGAAAATTAGTGGAGCAAACCATCCACGTCAACCCAACCGGCTACCGTTCAACCCTATGGGATGAATTCTGAAACAACATATAAACCAATGAGAACCATCAGAAATTCCTTTGTTTCAGTTCAGCAACCAAGCAGAGCACATGAATATAGCAAGTGGGATCTTGCCGAAACGTCGAATGTCGAAACAGATTTATACCCGGGATGACACTTCAGCATCCGTGAAGAAATACGCCAGGACATATATTCAAGAAGCTGAGGTTGAATGGGTGGGCCATCGAAAACTTGACATGGAGGTTTTGGGTACTAATCTTGCAAATCCTAAAAAAAAGCTCAGACAGGTCGAGGGGGACATTTTTTTCTCATTTACAGCGTCGTCACTTCAACCCCGAAGTAGAGGGGTGAACAACCTTTGGAATTTTAATAGGGAACTGGGGGCGAGTCGCACATCGTTTGAAAGATCTTGGAATTCTCTAAACAACGGTGTACATTTTTTTCAATTTGGACAAACCATATTAAATTTAGAGTTGAAGTTAATTACTTTATTCTTATGTCAGCATATGCTCAAAATGGACACCTCCAGCTTCCATGCAATAATAGAGATTCTGCTGGAAACGTTCTCGAACATTATGGAGCATTTCTGGAGTGATTTGGCGACATTCATTTGTGAAGAGGAGTGCAGTAAATTCTGCTTTTCAAATGACCCTACAGAAAGAAATCTAACGGCGAAAGGTCTGGTGATCGTGGTGCCATTTAGAAAAAAAGAACATTCATCACTGAAGCAAATGTTGAAAACAAAATGTGGATTTTCCACCGCTCGTTCACTAACCAACTCGCAAAATTGCAAGCGTCGATCAAAATCATCTTCATTCAGTTCTTGCGTTAATTTAATCTTGTAAGGATGCATTTTGTGGGTTGTTAAAATACGCCGAATGCTAGTTCGTGACACCCCGGAAACAAATGCTGACTTTTTTGTGCTCAAAGTATGGTCAAGCTCAACATGGCCCAGAATTGCCACTTGTGTCGCCTCATTTGTTACTGGTGGTTCGATTTACCGTTTTTTATTTGCTACAGATCCAGTTATGGCACTCACTACTAGTAATAATGTAGATATCACTTTTAACATAAATATGAGAAATAGAAACAGCATTTTTAATCATTTCTCAATTGTAATAGTCCTCTTATCATAGAAGAACTAAAAAAAATAACAAAAAAGTAGCGTAAGAAACAAATGAAAGAGTTCCAAATACATCCCAATTGAGCAATGGCGTACAACAATTTGTTGCTATTAACAATATTGAGAAAGTTTATTATCGGAAAGAACTCTTTGAAATACGGCCAAATTTAAAAAAATGTACACCATTGTTTAGAGAATTCCAAGATCTTTCAAACGATGTGCGACTCGCCCCCTATTCCCTATTAAAATTCCAAGGGTGTACAACCCTGTGCTCCGGGGTTGAAGTGACGACGCTGTGAATGGGGAAAAAACTTCCCCACTCCCAATAAAAATCGACCTGTCTGAGCGTTTTTCGAATTTGCAAGATTAGTGCCCAAAACATCCATGTCAAGTTTTCGATGGCCCACCCTGTATATTAGCTGTCATCAGTACCTAGAGTGTTTCCAAGTGCAATGTCGGACACAACACAATTGCAATATATACCGTTGACAGCCAGAAGCATGTGTCTGTGCGGTTTGTATATTTTCGTAGTGCTTTGTCCATGAAACTTTCCTGTTTTTGACCTACAATTATTTTTGATGTCGATTCCAGCACTTGAGATAAGTATCTATCAATTATAAAATTAGGGCTTGATAACTTTGCTTTGCTCATAAAATTTATAGGCTCTAATTTGTTTCGTAACAACTATTTTTTTTCGTTTTGTTGGTTAATATAAAACAGAATTTCAGAATTTTAAGTTAACTTATTTCTGAAATCTATTCGAACATTTTCAAATTATTTTTCACTTGTATTTCCTGTTTTGTTCAGTTTTACTGTACTACTGCGCAAACCGCGACTGTACGCAAACTCAGCTCAGCAAATTTCAGGATATGAGTGTTACTTGGAATTCCCCCACATTGACTCGCACACTGCGTCATTCTGTCATATTATAGTTCCAGACAGTACAGATTTGCCAATTACAACAATGATACTGTTACATCTAATACACACTGGACTCAGTTTTGTAGTGAGTTTTGGTTCTTTCGTGGCGTTCACTATATTCAGTAACTCCTTTGGTACATACCATGGATTATTGGCAGGTAAATTGAATCACTTCATTTTAAGTGCGGAGTGTTTATTGTATACGAGTTCTAACTTCAAAATGCAGCAATTGAACTTTATCTTTGAGTGAGAACTATAACTGAAACGACTATAATTGCTGTGAATAAGATCATTTTGATTTCGAAAACCTATTTACAATACAATACTACTAGGAAAATAGGTAATTTATAAATATGTTGATTATTGGCATTTTATGTCTAAACTTAATTAGATACGTACTTAATACATTTTTGAATCTGGCAAAACAGGTACATTTTGAAAAAAACCAATACCAGAAGAACATGTAATATATAAATATGTTGATTGTTATTTATGAAAACGTGTTCAATAATGGTGAGTGAATAATTTCTTGTTGGTCGTTCAAAAGGTGACAAGCATTTTCTTTAGTTAGTTTAGAACTTCTTTTCGTTTTGAAAGTGGGAGCCACTACGTCTCGGGAGACGAGAGCTCTCACGTCTCGGGAGACGAGAGCTCTCACGCCTCTTGCTCCTCGAGCCGGGGAGCCACGTCTCCTCAAAATGCAAAAGGATAAGTGGAGGCTTCCATACGAGGAGTCAAAACGACTATTCCTTGTTGACGCTTCACATGTGAAAGAGTCATAAATGTGAGTGTTCTGTGTTAGTGTTATTTTTTATGTGGATATAGCTATACTTCGTTAATGGCCTGTTTGAAACAATTTTTTGTTGAGGATGTGATGAATCATATTCGGATTGAAGTTGTTTACTGCAATTTGTTTCATTTACTTCAATTCCTTATTCAGATATTCTGCGGACATTGGGGTACTGATGAGCCAATTTATGTTGATGAGGGGATGTTTACGATAGTTGGTTAGTTGTGGCTGTTGTTAATTGTGGTAAATTGCGATATCACGTCTGTTGTTATGTAAATGTTATTTGGAATACCAATTACTGTGTAAGATTTGTCTGCTTTTCTGTAGGTGATGTTGCTATTATGAATTTTAGTGTTTTATGTTCGGAGAAGAGATTGTTTTTGATGCTCTGTGTCTGATACTGTTTGGGGTTGCGTATTTGTTTGTAATTTTTGTTTCGATGCCTGAAATTCCAAGGTTTTTTGCTGAATTAAGTGTTTTGATGTTATATTTGTAACCATTATAAAGTTATCGGCTAGGTTAACGATAACGAGTCTATTGTAATACTGATGATCCTTAAATGTAAGATGGGGTTATTTGATGGTTTAGATTTAAGGAATGTTTTTAATTTTCAAGTACTGAACTTTGACTTCTTCCCTGATGTTAGTGTCAAACCTGTCAAATTCATCATGATATAATCTGGGAGTTACTTCTGTATCTATTACTTTCAGATAAACGTTTATGATCCCTTTTTTGTTATACTGGGTTTTTCTATTCTTCTTGGAGCCATTTATTCTGTTGATGCTGAAACCTGTTCTTCCCTGTCTTGAGTTTTATGAACTTGGGTAATAAGTTCTCAGAACACTCGTTAAAAAACCGAAGGTTTTGGTTTACCCTTGTTCATCGTAGAAGTAGTCTGACATACCAAAGGGCCAAAAGGCTTGTCGAAGATAGTTTCAAATTATGTGACCGAACTTTTTTTCAGGATCTTCTAAATCTATAGGTAGTATCTTGATGAAAATTCAATTTTTTATGTTAATATAATTGAACTCACACTTTAATCAACAAACAAAGAAAAACACACACACACAGTCACACACAGAGATGTATTTTCTATCGAGGTCCAAAATTATTCGATCTTCTGTCAGTCAGCCTAAGAAATATTTCCAATCCCAATAAATTCATAAAATCAATCAGAACATTCATTATGTTCAATACCGATCTTCTCATTTTACATACAATATTAACATTGGTAATAGTTGCTCCGAGACGAAAAATCGGATTAAAAATCTATAAACGCTAACTTGTGCAGCTTGAAATTAAAGCAAAATTGGCGAATTTTGGTTCTTCTCGAATATCTCCAGGACCAATCGCAATGTCCTGAATTTTAATTCAAATGAACTTTGAAATGGAAAACTTTTTCCTAATTTGAACGAAAAATATAGATTCCTTCCCTCCTTGCGAGGAGGTTAAACCATGTAGGATTAGACAAATAAATTCGAGGATAAGTTACTTGATTCTTCTAGAATTTCCTATTCTCCAATGCACCAGCCGTCACTGGCTAGGATACGCTAGGATACGCTGGTACACCCTTCAGAAACTGAGGTAGCGTTTGGTCCAAAAAGTTGCGGTATACTTGGTAGGTCTAATATAGTACGATATACTTTTATTTCGGCTACGTTAATAAGTATAAAATAACTAAAATTGTTATTGTCGAAATTCTTTTTCGCCCCGTATCTTCGAATCTACCAAAATTCATCAAAGGACAAAATATCCTTATAGAATAGTCCAGGTAATAGTCCTTTGAATTTTTGCCGCATGTTTAATAAACGCCCTGTATATCCAACAATGAAAGAGTTGTGTAGATGGATGAGTGTGTCTATTTATTGTTACACTTACTGCATTGTCAGCTTGTTTTTTTTTGTTTCAGCTACGGCAGATGGTTTTTGCTTCGTGGTGGTGTATTTTTATCACTCTAGGATTATAGAAAGAGAAGAAGTGCGTTTGAACACCATAAATTCCATAAAAACTTTGAGTGTCTTTGGTTTTGTTTTAATCGTTTTGAATTTGGTACAATTCATTTTCCGCCTAACTAATCAATTACGATATGAGCCAGGTTAGTATTTTCACGGTATTCTCACCATAAATAATAGCAGGATTTAACCTACGTGGTTTGGTACATAAAATCATCACAAATCACCTGTTGAATTAGTTTCTTTTTTAAACACTGAAAAATGTTGAAAACATAACAGGACAACGAGAGAAAACGTTTTTTATGCTGATTCGTCCCAACAATTCTGAGTTTGTTGAACTTTTGAAGACGGTCCTGTTCATATATGTTGACATGTTACCTGCGTCTCTCATAGATCAGGACAAGCTGTTTTTGTCCATGTGTTGCATTTATAGTCGGAGCGCTGGTGAAAAATTTGGGATAGGTTCTTAAAGCACCACAAAAATGTTTGTAATTGTCCTTGAATGGCCCCTAAATGATATAGTTCAGGTCTGGCTGAAGGGTAGCTGCCCCCTGTCAACCCTTAAATCTTCAAGTTGAATATTTAAGGAATTGAGAAATAAAAAGCCAGACCGATTAGTCGGGTCTATTAAAAAATTATATCTGAAATAAATAAAAAAAATTAATATAAAAGTTTCAGATATCAATGCATTGAACTTTTTTGATATATTATATATTTTCTGAAAATAAATTGGAAATAATATAATTGTATTATAATTTTTCAACTACCCAGGATTCTGGGTATCTGGTATCATTGCTTCACGATTCTTTTGAATCTGTCTTAATGTCATTCTGGCTCTATAAGGATATTGATCAGCTCATTTCATTTGATGTTTCAAAATGGCGTTTTTCTACATATCGGGTTTGCTGGATTTTCATCAAGTTGTCCATTGTGGCGAAAACGAATGCTTGGAAGGCAAAAAACGAATATTGTTATAATATTTATTTGGTTTCATATCCTCCATTTTATTTTTCAGCACTTTTTCCTATAAGCACAAGTAACTTTTTCGACATACTCATTTGTGCAATTGGATTGAAAAGTGGAATTTGCTTGGTGTACTACTGCCTACGGTATAGACCGAGAGACGAAGAAGAACAGCCGTTACTTGGGGAGATTAATTAATATCAGTTATAAAAAAAGGTTGTGAAGTTGTCATGCATGCAATCATCAGGTAAGAAAAGCTAGGATAAAAGCACTAATCCATTACTATAGAACTTAATTTCTGATTATATTTCATTTTTATATATCTTAACATATTGCCAATAAAAACATTGTACAATATACAATAAAAATATAGAATATAACAGCAAATTTGTTGATTATTTATTATGATCATAACAATATTATAAGTTTTTTGCTGGATTTTTTTCCTAACACCAAACCGTTATTTTAACACCTTGACACGTGTTTCGATCACCAAGTGATCATCTTCACCATTTTTGATCTTCCTCTTGAAGATGACCACCTTGACACGTGTTTCGATCACCAACTGATCATCTTCACCATTTTTGATCTTCCTCTTGAAGATGATCACTTGGTGATCAAAACACGTATCGAGGTGTTAAAATAACGGTTTGGTGTTGGGAAAAAACTCCAGTAATATTCATTACTACACCGAAGGTTCCAAACAGAGCACCACAAGTAAATATTATAAATTAATCATAATCTTTTCTTCGCTTTTTTGTTTTTTGAACGGCATTTGGAAAACTGTCACCAAGGCAGTATTGGAGATCTTATAAAATTCTTTTGGAAAGAGGATCATAATGCAGACTCGAACTAGAATTTTCAAAAACAACTCCTGTATCAAATTCTTCAAACATTTAATTCAAAGAGAATTTTTAGCACAATATATGATAATGATTAAAAACATTTCTCAAATACTTTATTTCTAGACGTGTTTGACACCGTAGCTTCCTCGGTAAAAATGAGTATCACAAACTGAGCTACAATTCTCATATACTGATTTTACTTATCATATCAAATTTCACCTGCTGTCCAAGAACTGAGATTGTAATTGATTTACAAGTTCTGCTTGTTATCGCTTTTACTATTAACCCATTAAGCTAGGTGTCTACTACTGTTGTATATAACAATTGTAGTTCAGTGTGTAATACTTATTTATACGGAAGAAGCTACAATGTTAGCGAAACTCGAACATCATAGATCCTCTTTTGAAATTCATCCTAATAATCCGTTTCTATCGTTAAGGTATAGGATGACGTCATCTATCGGATTGACAGAAAATTTCAAAATTGCTCGCTCAAAATGAACAAGGCAATATGTTGCAAAGCCCAACCAGTCCTTAGTCCTCGGAGAATCAGCCTAAGTATAAGTAAACCTGAAGACTTCTCCTCACCAAGACGTCATCCATGAAATCAACAGAAAATTCGAAGCTCCTACATTGTAGCGAACGCTGTAGAGATAGACAGCGGTCGATGTTAAAAGTTGGCTTTGAATCACTTTCTGAGGGCGATTTGATCTGAGATGAGGGCGATTTGAAATGAAAACAGAGATTTTTTAGTAAGAATAACAACAAAGGAATCGGAAACATTCAATTTCACCTACAAAAGTAATAAATGCTACTTATAGGTCAACAAAATATTCAACTGAGTCAAATATGATAATAATATCGTCTTTGTTATCTTCAAATATATTTTAGGCGAAACTATATTACTATAATGCGATCAATTCACATGAAAAGTCATTCATTTGCTTTTCCACTCAACCTCAAAAATGTACCATACAATGAAATGTGAATACCTGTAGCCCTTGCGTTATCAACAATTTAGAGACAGTGAAAATTATTTAAAATTGGTATTGAAAGCTTCAGTTCGTATCCTTTCAATGCTCGGGTAGTTCATTACAAATTGCATAGATATGATATGATTTATGTAAGTACATTTGTTCGAAAAGTGATTTCTGGATATAAATAAGACGGTACTTTAACATTGTCTTATGCATTGAGTATGCAGCACGTAACACCCTCCTATCTTTCATGTTCAACCAGTATCTTTCGGATTATAAGATTTTCTTTCATGTCTTCATATTCCATAAATTAACCGCAAGAAGGAATTTTGAACTATTTGTTGGAATATACAAAACGTCAGCATAGGTAAATGTAGACAGGTACCAGTGTTGTACCTTTTAGAAAAAATATGGTAACACATTTCTGCGACAAAAAGTAACATTTGATAGAAAAAGGTAATAAACATTACATTGCGAAAAATACGGATGAATATATGATCAGCTTTCTTTTGGAGTCGGACATTACCTTTTTTATTCCTCAAATACTAATAGTAAATATGTTCATCACATATCAGATAAACAAGTGAATGAACATCACAAAACCGTTACATAACAAACTGGTCTGTTCTTTGACCACAGACCTACAGAATACCTTAGGAAAGAGCACAGAACATATACCATGAACTTTTTTGACAGGCAACAATCTTGAAGGTGGTTATTATCAACTAAAAATTTGTCAAGTTGTTAGTGAACGTGAACATGAAAAAATGAAGCTACTTTGATTGAAATGTTGGCCTAACAGCCTTCCGAAATAACATCATAATAATTACTCAGTGGAAATTAAATTATATATCAGTTTCTAATAATTTGAATTTACCACGAAAAGTGGGTAAATATTCGTTTTGAGGGCATCCGGCAATTTTGAAAAAATGTTTGAGTGTACTCACGTATTTTGATGCGTAGATTACGAATCTGAAAGAAAACAGCGGCGCTCTTCCTTATTTACAAAGTTACGGCCTTTCAAAGTTCAGAAAAGCCTTCTTTTTCACAAAATAAAACTATTTAAAAACAACCATTTATTCACTAGGTCACCTTTACATCTTATTCCTTCTTCCTTGACACTTTTCACTTCAACAATCAACATTTTTCCAATAAAAAATGTTTAAATATGTACGGAGCTGCTTTTTGGTTGTATATCTCTGTATTTTACGTTTTTAAGGTTAATGGCATAGTTGGTACGACTGATTATGTCAATATTCTTAAAGTAATTCAAATGTTTTTTGCCTTCATTCTTAAGATTCATTTTATGTTTTTCTAATCACTCACGTCAAACTAAAAATCCAAATGTATGAATTTGAAATAGTAGGCGGCGGCAAATACTAACCGCTCTTTTCTGAAATATCACTAGTAACTAATCTAGAAATAGAAAAATGTCACCAGAAGAAGTATTCGTTTTTAAATTAAGTTTTTTACAGATGGCACTTTGGACTTATTTCCCTTCCTTTCTAAGATATTTAGGAGATATTTGTTATGATAATATGTGGTATGTGGTATTTTAGAATTACCCCAAATCTCCTCAATAAATATTGTCATTTTATTAAGAAACATCTTATATATCACAGTAGGTAGTTTTAAATTGAATAGATGTCAGATATTTACAACAAAGAAAGGGTAATAGCAACTTTATCTTTCTCTCTCCTCTATCAAAAAAGCGCACATACGATTGATTCACTTGGATATAATCTGCTTTGATATGATGCATTCTCAGAATTTTCCACTTTTATATCTATATAACTCGTATACTTCGTCATTCTGTCATGTACTTTCAGCGAGAACAAAAATGACACTTTATCATCTAATACACACTGGAGTCAGTGTCATAGTGAGCTTGGGTTTTTTCGTGTTTTTTTCTATATTAAGTAACAAATTTGGTATATATAATGGATCGCTAGCAGGTAAATTCAATCGTATTATTTTGAGCGATAATTCTTTTTGTATAATTTTGTAAAGCAATATCCAGTAGTTGAAATCAATGTTTTACATACACATTTAGTGAGAACTATGTAGGTATAAATGATATAATTGCAGTAGAAAATATATATACAATGGAAGTCTCCAACTTAATGAATCAAAGACGAGTTATTTTTTATAAAAATATTCGTTCACGTGATTAGTATTTGGAGTCGCACTTTTTTTTTTTGAAATAATGATAATAATAATAATATCACTTCACTTCTGCGGAAACACAAGGATAGAATAGAATAGTTTATTAACTACGTTACATTTTCATGTTTGTAGCAAGTCCAGTGTATAGGCTTTCTTAAATAAACATATGAAACAAGTAAGTAAATTGTGAAAATATAAAAATAGCAACACAGAGGTTACCTACGTACATATATAACCAAATAAATATTCACCTATGATAATAGGGTTATTTGCAAACTACCACAGTACAATCGATACCGGTGAGTATGTTTCATCTCGAGTAAACATGGCTGACGTGAACTGTCCTAAAATAATCGTAGTATTCTGATACTGAGTAAAAACATTGTTTGAGTAGCATTTCCTTGATGGTTCTTTTGAATTTGGTGATACTAAGCTCTTTGAAGTTATTTGGCAGAGAGTTGAAAAGATTGTGATCAACAGAATTCATTTTTGATCTGGTCAAACGATAACGGCATGTTCTTACCTTGTCCGCATTTCTCGTGAAGTGTTGGTGTATGTCAGACTGTTTCCCTAGAAAATGAGCATTTTTTCTGATTTCCAGTAGCGTCTGATAAATATATAATGTTGGCAACGGTATGATACGTAATTTTTTGAATAATGGTCTACAGTGCTCCTGGAAACCTGCACTTGCCAATATTCTTACAGTTTTTTTCTGTAGTTTGAAAATTCTCATCGAACTAGGAGAGTTCCCCCAAAGAACAACACCGTAGGTGATGTGTGAGTGGAGTAATGCAAAGTACGTCATTTTCAGAATCTCACCGCTTGTGAAGTTTTGCAGTTGACGAAGGATAAATATTGCACTAGATAATTTATTTGCGAGAAGATCTGTATGTGCTGTCGAAAGTAATGCCAAGTAATTTTACACTTTTGTTAGCTGAACCTACAGTACTGAACTCAAGATTTTGAGTTTTGCCACTATTCAACTTCAATTTATTTGCTAGAAACCAAGTGTTGGCTTAATTTTCAACTTCTTCCATTACTTGTGGAATGTTAGATGATGATTGATCGCTATATATCAAAGTTGTGTCATCTGCATAGAAAATGGCCTTATAGGGAGACATGAAATTACATAAATAACAAAGAGCAGGGGCCCAAGTATTGAACCTTGTGGAACACCGTGATCAATAGGTTCAAAATTTGATGTAATACCATTACACGAAACCCCCTGATACCTATTTGAAAGGTATGATTCTATAAGTGACAAAGATACCCCTCTAACTCCATAATAATACAATTTTTTAAGAAGTATACTGTGTGATACACAATCAAGAGCCTTAGACAAGTCAAAAAGCGTTATGGCAGTGTGCACACCCTTCTCGAATCCTTCAACAATAGATCCAATGTCATTAAAGACAGCTAGAGAAGTAGAACGATTTTTGCGAAACCCATATTGACCCTGAGAAAAGAAGTTGTTGCTCTCGAAGTAATCATACAGACGCTTCTTCATTATTATTTCAACGACTTTGGAGAAAATAGATATGGGCCTGTAATTGTTCAGGGAACATGGGTCCCCTTTCTTGAAGACTGGAATCACTTTCGCAAATTTGAAAGAGTCAGGAAAAACACCTGTCTCAAATATGAGGTTGATCAGTCCTGTTAGAGGCGAAGTTATAATATGTTGGGTTTCCTTGATGAAACGAGCGTTCAAATTTTGGGCATCTGAACAGTTTGAAGGTTTCAAACAATCAATCGCGCCCTTAATATCCTGTTCGGTGACGGGACCGAGAAAAAAGGAGCTACAAGGTACTGGAAATTCTTCGAAATTAATTAAATCCTCCATGTCCATCTGAGGTAAAGATTTGATGATGGTATCCGCAATATTAACAAAAAAATTGTTGAAATCCTCGGGAGATATTTGGGGTGTTTTCGCAACAGCCTTTGTTTTGTTGCGTTCATAATTTATTATCCGCCAACATGCGGATGATCTATTTTTAGAAGAGATAATAAATTCATCGTATGCCCGTTTTTTACTCAGTGTTATCCGTTGATGATATTCTTTTTTGACTTTTTTGTACACATTTATATCGGAAGGGTCTTTACTGCTATCTGCGATTACTTTGATACTCTTCAATGACTCTCTGAAGGATTCAAGAGAATCATCAAACCAACACACGGGGGATGTTTTTTTATGAGCTGCCACCCTTCTCAGAGGAAATAACTTGCGAACTTGAGTAGCATAGACATCAGTTATGTAAGATGCTAATACATCTCTTGATTCTCTCTTGATTGTGATAAAAAATTTCCCACTTTATTTCTGAGAGTGATTCTTTGAGTTTTCTCAAACCTATTTGTGTATATGAACAGTTTTGGCTGGCTTTGAAATTTTTATGTATTATAATATATTGAGCTTTATGGTCCGCTATGCAGGGTTCAAAAACACCTGTGTCGATAGATTCGTCATCAAGGTTTGTTGAGATATTATCTATCTGACTAGAAGAAGCGGCTGTGATTCTTGTATCATCATTAATGGTGATTTTTAATTCAAAGGAAGATAATAAAGTTTGAAATTCACTCAGGATATTGGAGTTAATTTAGAAGTTGATATTTAAATCACCCATTATTATTATATTGGTTGAAGCTTTGACAATGGTAGTCAGTAGATTTTCAAAATTTACAAAAAACAAGTCGACGTCGCCCTTGCCTGATTTATAGACAACAATGATTGTTACTTTCGGTTCGAACAACTCGATACCACAGAATTCCGAATTAATTTCACTGTTGAAAGAAGTTAAATCTATGTAATTGAAATCAAGGTCTTTTTTCACAAATAATGCGGTGCCACCATGGACCCTCTTTTCTCTACAAAATTGACTAGCAAGAACATATCCATCCAGACATACTCTGCCTAATTCAGCCCCCCTCAGCCAATGTTCTGAAACACCAATAACTTCGAATTGGTGATCAAATGTAAAAGAATTCAATATACCAATTTTATTGAATATACTCTGAACGTTAACATGAAACACACTCACCGAATTCGGGTCTTTAACCAAATTTTTAAAATTGCTGGAAAAGGAATCTTTTTGCTTTTCTTCTATTGTCCCTCGATGCTGGGAGGAGTTTTGTAAAAATTTTCTTTGAATTTGAAGCGTCTTACAACAGATCCTTGTGGCCAAATAGCTGGATTGTAAGCGGCATCCAAGTGGTCCAGTGGGAAAGACACTTTGAAGGTACAGGTACGTTCGTTTTCATTCCATGTTTCGCAAACAAAATGTATATCCGGAGAAGTTGTCTTCAAGTAATCTCTCAAGTTTTCAGAAGTCATTCCAGTTTCTATGCGCGATACATGGACGTGTCCCAGGCGCGGTACAGTTTTGATAACTGTATTCTCGTTTCTTCCATGAATTGGTTTATATTTATTTTTATTTTGGTAGTTTTTGTTGGGGATATTCCGTCGGGGAATTCTGTTTGTATTTGTGGTCCGGTTTTTGTCTACCTTAGATTCCGATAATGCGTGGAAATGTTCAAAAACATTTTTCTAGAGGTGATTCCGAATCGAATGAGCTATCGCTCATATTTTTAGGACCTTCGTCTCTATTTTTCATGTTTTAGAACTTGTTTTATTTGCTACTGCCGTAGACTTCCAAGCGGCACTGAAATTTTTGTATTGTTCTGGTAGGCTGGATAGCATTTTGGATATAATTATCACATCATCAATGTATGTTCCCAATTAGGTTAGTTTGTATGCAATATTCTGCATATTCATAAGTGCTTGTGAGCTATCCAAACGTTTCTTTGCTGTTAGTTATAGTTATATGTAGTTCCAAAAGTTTTCTCTGTTTTTGGTTCAAACTGTAGTATTTCAGTGATACCCATTCAATTTTATCAAAATAAGCACCATTTAAATAGTCGAATAATTCCATCAGCATAAAAATGGTGTGCTCGGGATTCGATGATGTCAACGAAGGCCGTTTTTTACCTGGTCCTGATTGGCGAAGATTCTACCGGTGAGGAAGTTATCGAAGTGTTTTGAAAGATGGTAGTCGGTTGGCGAGAGGTCAAGAAACGAGAGGTCCGGAAGAGAGGTCTTCATAACGAAATTCTGGAAACAACACTGTAGAATTAATATTTATTGAGATATAGAGCTAGAAAACACATGACTTTTTGTGCACGTGCATTTTTGAGCATTTCCTGGACTACCATTCCCAAGTGAAATTGCCAGACAGCGAATAATTCAGCATTACACAGCTTCTCAACATGATTTTTTTCAGTTTTGATCATCATTTACTTTTTCTTCTTGGTGTATGTATTATAGCCATATAGCCACTGTATTGTAAACGTGAAATCTTTCTGTTTCAGTTACGGCAGATGCTTTCTCCTTTATGGTGGTTTATTTTTATCGCTCTGGGCTCATAGAAAGAGAGGATATGCATTCGAACCCCTCAAATTCCATTAAAAGTTTGAGTGTCTATGGTTATTTGATGATAGCTTTGAATTTGGTACAATTTATTTTTTTCCTGACTATCCAATTACGTTATCAACCAGGTTAGTACTTCCACAAAATTAAATATTCACAACACACGAATTCCCAAACGTGTGGTGAATGTTCATCCTTGAATAATATAAAAGTACTTACATCACAAGTATCGCTGTTCAGAAAAATTCAGTCTATTTTTCGGTGATGTACAATACATGTTCAGTTTCTTGGTGGGAGGCATAAAAGTTAGAAGTGTTCCACGTGTTCGGCTATCAACAAAATGGATAAATAACATCATGGGCCGAAAGCCATCTGTTTTTCTTGCTTCTTAATCATCGTTGATCGATTGTAGACAAATACGAATATCTTTAAAGAATAATCTGAACTGAACTCTCTCTCCCACATAAAAAAACGGCAGAATTTCGTAGGAATTTGGTATTCGAAGGTGTAATTCAGCTAGTGACCTGCAAGCTTATCTTCGCTGGGTGAATTTCCATCTGTCGTAGCTTTCAATCTATTTTTCAAAGTTTGAACCCAGGATACCTCACAGAGGTTAGTCTTGCAAATGTTTCTCGTTCATCCAGCAGCAAAACCACGCTGAAATCAATTAAGTAAATCACCTACAGATCGGTTTGGAGGTGTGACCTCTCATCACTGCAAGAATGGTCCTATACAAATATCATTGTGCATGGGATTCGGTTGATTTTAATGCGGTTCGATTGCATACATTTCAGCGTGGGCCTGCTGCTGGATAAACAAGAAACATCTGCAAGACTAACCTTCGTTTGGTATCTTAGGATAGGTTAGGTTAGGTCCAAAGTGAGTGAGTCTATTCGACCCTCCACCGCAACCCGCAAGGGTTTATTGTGGCTCACACCTATTCACACTCAACCAAATAAACCCAGCTTCTTAACGAAGTCGATTAGTTTGTATGGTGAGTGGTCTTTCAGGTCTCGAACTCTTAAAAACCTGATTCGGTCCCCAGCGGGGCAGGCACAAAGCATGTGCTCTGCTGTTTCATCATTTTATTTATTTATTTATTTATTTTATTTATTTATTTATTTTCAAACCTCATTACATGAAAATAATTATTTTTATGAAAATATCAATACAGTCTAAATCATAAATAGAATTCTAATATTTATACGTGAATACAGTTATATTGTATCTACAAGTGTTTATTACATAAAGCCGAATGGAAGGAAAAAACATAGTTATTCTAAACTTGAAAAGTAGTTTTTTACACCACTATAAACTTGTTTGGGAGGGAGAACAAAGTTGATGTCTGACATTAACAGGAAGTTGTTTGTTATTTTGATCATTGTAATGATAGGTGAACAGTTATTTGTTGATACATATGGTACATCAAAGAATTGAATGAGTCTTGTTGTTCTTTTGGGAATTCTCTCTTTTTTATATACCTATTTTATAACACATCAACACTATAGTTGCCTGTCTTCTATTTTCTAAACTGGGTATTTTAAATTCATTTCGTAGTGCTACTGTTCTAATTGTATTATAATCCGGGTATACTTTATATTTCTTGTAATATAAAAATCTCAGAAATCTGTTTTGAATTTTGTCCAATCTATTTTTATGAACAATATAGGAAGGATGCCATACTACAGCCCCATATTCAAGTTTAGGTCTGACCAAACTATACTTTATATTTCTTGTAATATAAAAATCTCAGAAATCTGTTTTGAATTTTTTTAAATCTATTTTTATGAACAATATAAAAGGATGCCATACTACACCCCCATATGCAAGTTTAGGTCTGACCAAACTATTATAAAGTGTAGTAATCACTTTAATATCGTTGAAATGTGCACTTTGCCTCATTATAAATCCTATAATTCTTAGTGCCTGAGATGCTATGTAATCCAAATGGAGTTTGTATGAGAGTGTGGAGTTATAGTATATACCTAAATCTTTGACAGTCTGTACCCTGGATGATTCAATACCTTTAATTAAGTAATTGTATAGTGTCTTATTTAGTTTTCTGGTACAAGACAGGACAGAACATTTGGATATATTGAACGGAAGATCATTTTTCACACTCCATCGATAAACACTATTGATGTCCTCTTGTAGTTTGACACAATCTTGTAAGTTTTCGATCTGTCTATAAAATTTAATGTCATCTAGGAATAAGAGACACTCAGAATACTTTATATTTTGAGTTAGATCATTAATTAATATAAGAAAAATTAATGGACCCAAGTTTGATCCTTGAGGAACTCCAGAGTTTGCGCAAAATTTCCCTGTATAATTACCTTCATATTTGACTAAGTGTCGGTTATCCAAAAACGATGCCAGCAATTTGAGTGCTTTGGTATCAGCACCATTTCTATGTAACTTTTCCAGTATCACATCATGATTAACTTTATCGAATGCTTTTTGAGAATCTGTATAAGTAACATCAACCTGTTTATTGTTATCTAGATGGTTGAGGACATGATGAGTGAATGTTAGTAGATTTGTTGACGTCGACTTTTTTGGAACAAATCCGTGCTGTTCATTACAAATGTTTTCGCCAAAACCCCTCAAAACTTTTATATAGATGATCTGTTCAAACAGCACAATAGTACACAGCACTCCTATTGGCCTATAGTTTTCAATATCAGAAACCCTGCCAGACTTATGGATAGAAGTCACTAATATTTCCTTCCATAAGTCTGGAAACGTATTTGATTTTATTGATGAATTATAGATATAAAGAAGAGGTTGCTTTAGCCATACTCCACATCCTTCAATAATATATGGTGGTATTTTATCAGTTCCTGCAGATTTTTTTGGCTTAAGTTTCTTTGAAGCTTCAAACAGAAGCGACACACACTGTCTTCCGACAGTCCGAGTCTTTGCATATGATGATTCAAATGACAGTGACCTCTAAGAAGGCCTGCTAGACATCGTGGTTCATCCCTACTGTAGTCCAACAACTGTTTAGTATCAAGCTACGAAGTGTGAATAAACGCCTTGGAGTTAGCCAATCCTGGAAGATTCTACCAGAAGTTCATAAGTCTTCTTGCCATCCAGGTGTTCAATCTTTGTTCTGGTCCGATGAGAGGTATCTTGCATAAATGTTTGTCGGATGTAATTAAATGTCCAGCGTGGTATTAGCCGGGGAAGTAGTTGTTTTCCAGAATGATTTATCAGAACCTACTGTGTAGGGGAGACATTAATGTTCCGAAATTTCATTTTGGAATATTAATTTTCCTATATATGGTCTTTAATTGAATTTGAATGAAATGAAGTGTGTGCGAGGGATATCATCGAAATTTTTTATTCGTTTGGAAGACCTATTGAAGCCATTATGTGTTAAAATCTGTTTTTCCGTTAACCAGCTGTCTCCTCACTACGAACGACAACTCTTACAATGTTGATTTTGTTTCATCCTCCTATTTTTCTTTCAGCAATTTTCCCTGTGAGTACAAGTAACTTTTTCAACCTACTCATTTGTATATTAGGATTGAAGAGTGGAATTTTCTTGGTGTACTACTGCCTGCGGTATAAGCCAAGGAGCGAAGAAGAGCAGGCGCTACTTGGGGGAAATAATAATTGATCTCAATTTGTGAAACTCTTATACTTATTATCAGATAAGTTTCATATGAAAGATCAAGTACTAATCCAAAACTATATCACATATCATGGTCTTTATTCCTTTAAGTTACCTTCATTATACATAAACATTGTATTGTTTTTAATAAAAACATGAAATTATTATAGCAATATTCTAGTTCTCATTTCACTCTTAGACTTCTTCTGGAGTTCCCACTTCCACTATCTCTCTTTGGAGTGGACTTTGGTCTACTGACCCCACAATAGTATGGAAATATTGTATTGAACGACAAAAAACTGACACGACGATAAAGTTCAGCCCTCTCTTTTATCAATTTATCGATTTGGATTTTGTGATTGGATCTTGTTACTAAATAAAAGTGTGAAAAAATAGAATATATAAAACAAAATCATAAAATTGTGTTAGTTACACCATTTGAAACGAACAGCTGGACAGGTTTTCACGATTTTTTATTTATTGGATTGGTCCCTACTCGGAATAGCAGAATAACTGTAGAAACATTCAAAAAATTGAGAAAAAAACAATTGACGTCGTATGTTAGGTTATGACAGCTGTCATGATGCACTCAAAGACAAGTGAGGATATGACATTCATAACTGTATGCACATGAACAATTGTTGCAAAGTTAGCAATATTCATCATAGTTTTATATACAGTGCCAAGAGCGGAAAGATCAAATCTTCCACAACGAAGCAGTAATGCAATTAGGCCATGGAATATTGCGAATTAATGCAATGCAACGTTGGAGGAATCTCATAAGAGGAGCATTATTATCAGTGTTAACTGTCGGAACTGTCGGGGAAGAACAAAGTTTCTGCAATATGCTTGCCGTTCCAATCTTACTCTACTCGTTTGGAGTAGTGAAGTGGACTCGAGTGGAGCTGTATCAACTCGACGTAAAGACCTGAAAAATGATGCATCTCTATAGGAGTTTGCATCCCAAATCGTCCGTCCCACGGTTGTACTTCTCCCGACAACAGGGAGGCCGTGTACTTTTGAGTTTGGAGTGTCTAGATGACACCCCCCCCATGCTCCCTTCCGGGTTGAGTGCCCTGAAGTAGAAGCTTCCTCCCCCAGCTATTTAGCGAGGAGAACCTACTACTCCACTCCATCCACCCCCGCTCTCCGAGCGGTTCTCAACTTGCTGTTGGGCACTTCAGCAAGATTGACATCTGACCTTTTTTGGTCGAAAGTCAGCCTTTAGGTGCTTTTACTTTCTTATCTAATCGTTGTTTTATCTGACTATTCCTAACTGATTTTAAGCATGGGGGCCCCCAAAAACTAACCGGCGGCTTTGTGCTATGCATCGAGCGTTTCTCAGTGCATCCAAGAAAAATTTTTAGAGTCGCGATTGTAATATTGAAATTTTGGTCTGAATAATAATAATAATATTGCCTTTATTATTTCATAATCATAACAAAAAACACAACATAACTTAAATATTCAACTTGCAATTGAAATAAAGGGCGAAGTTCATCGTCGATAATGAAATACGTCACGGAAAATGTTCTTCCACTTAACCCTGAAAAAAGAAAAGAAGAGAAAACCAAAAATAAAACTGTGATTGTTATATATGATGATATTATGATATAAATACGAATAAATACCTTACATAAAGAGTTTACTTCAGCTATTCCTTACAAAAAAATCTGTTCTGTTCAAAATCTGTTTTTCCGTTAATCAGCTGTCGTCCTCATACGAACGACAACTCTCAGAAGTTGAGAAACTTGTGCGAGCTAAGGACTAACGAGGTCTCACCTTTTAACGTGTGACACGGTACCACGGTAAAAGATACCAATAATTTCATTTAATTTCAGTCTGAAAAATAGTCTTTATATTTATTTTTGATGTTTGAGGGAATTGGGGAGAACATTTTTTTATATCGAATATTCAGGTTATGGGTGTCCGGATATGTAACTTTCCCATGAAGTTATGAAGGTTTTTTGTTACAATTATTTTATAGGAAAAACAGACAGCCTTTATCAACTCTATTTTATCGCGTACAATATAACCACAGTATACTTATATAGTACTTATACAGTAGTCCCACTTAGCGTCGGTCCCTTTGATGTTGGTGTCCAGGAGTTTCAGTTTTTACAATGCTGACGTATTTGACACTAATGACTTTTCTCCCTACTACAATCTCAACCAAAGCGTCTAAACACTGCTCATCATAACAACTATTCATATAAACTGCTCAAAAAAATACAGTCGATGAAAACCATGTTGGGCACCTGAGAAAATTGTACAAATGATAATTTTCCATTTGTGTAATATTCAAGTAACCCAGATCATTTGGACAATGATGAACTAACTATGTTTCAGTTAGATTTCAAAAATTCATGGGATCGGCAGATTTTCATATTCGGATGTGTCAAAAATATATTTTCATTTCACAGTAGATTGGGTTACACCCAGAAAATTCACTCTCGTCGTTTGCGCAGACCTGAGACTGCAACTCCTGGGTCTGCGTGTAGAAAATTTAAACCAAAAATCACCCGAAGTGGGATACTGTCTAGAGTATACTGTGATATAATTTCATCGGAAGGTAGGAGCGATATCAATTGAATTTTTGTTTAACAAAAACGACTAATACGTAATGCATCCTGCAAGCCAACTTTCATAAAAAATAGTATATCAACAGTTTCGGTTCTTCACATATACAATTGTCTAGTATACGTAGATATACATGAAAATAGCATCGAAACGACTTCGCAATGGTACAACTTTCCCACAAAAAAGTCAATTATTAAGACTCAAACAACATAAAACTTTATATAAAAAAACTCGTATATATGCTAGATCAAAGATTTTCAATTGTGTACTTTTTTGTGTCAAAACACAGACAAATTTCAACAAATTTAATTTTATGCAGTCCCAGAATAAACAGAAAAGGTAGCTGGTGTTATATGTAGGTGTGATATGAATATAAGTATATACAGTGCATTTCTTTAATGCCCCTCCCTTTTTATTTTTTGAACGGGTCAACTGAAAAAAATTAAATTTGGGATAATGAAATTTATGCATGAATACTTTATTTTGAAGTGAAATTGACAGATGAAACTTTCAAGATGGCGACTGAGCGCCAATATTAAATGGAAAGGCGAGGTCTTGTGATACATTATTTTGATGCTCCTGACGAATACTTCACAACCTCAGAATATGAAGTCAATATCTTCACCTACTACAAAATAGTGGAACATTTAATGATTTCCTGAAGACAAACACATCAATATCGATATTTCTCGAAGTATTCCTTTTTATCTGCCATTTGGCAATTCCAACAACCCGATGAGGTTTGTTAAATTATTTTTTCTTTTTTCTTTATAAAAACGACAATAAATGTCAGTACGACAATGAACATCATTGTTCGGTTAGAATATTCTCATTTAGTTTTCGGTTTTACTAGTAGGAAGGTACCATATCAACAATCTCTAAAATGGTCAATTATCGTCCATTGGAAGAAAAAATTGAAGCGATTTTTATTTACGGTGCGACGCGTAACTTTGACGAGACCAAAAGGATTTTCAATGAACGTTTTCCGAATCGTCCTATCTGTAGAAAATATTTGAGGAAACTTGTATCCAAATTCACAACTACCGGTAGTGTACATGGCAAAAAGCCCCAAGGTCATCCGTCCATTCCGGAAGAACAGCAAGTGCAAATAATTGGTGAGATGGTAGTAAATCCTGAACAGTCCACTTACTTCGTCGCGAATGTTTGTGAGGTGTCTCCTTCTACTATGTGGAGACTTTTGAAGAGGAATATGTATCATCTATACAAAATTAAAATGGTACACCAATTAACTGAAGATGACCCTGATCGAAGAACAGAATTCTGCGAAATCATGACGGAAACCATTGCAAGATTCACGTTTTCCGGGAAACACATACCCAATATCCAGAAAAAAATTAGCGTTTGGGCAGGAATACTGAGAAACCATATTGTGGGACCTCTATTTATTGATCAAAATTTAACAGGGGAACTGTATTTGAATATGCTGGAAACTGTTGACCCCCTCATCACTGAAATCGTCGAAGCGAATCCTAATGAATTCGAAATGCATTTTGTATTCCAACAAGATGGGGAAACCCCCACATTACTACAGACAAGTAAGAAACTCTTTGGATAGTACTTTTCCCGGTCGTTGGATTGGCCGTCGAGGTCCTACAGAATGGCCAGCCGGCTCGAGAGATTTGACACCGTTGGACTTTTTTATGGGTCTATTTGAAAAAGAAGGTGTACGAAACTGAACCTGCTTCAATATTGGATATATGGCAGAGAATAATAAATATTTGTAAAGATATTGACGTTACTGTGTTCGAAAATGTTCGGCGTGAAATATCGGATAGGCTGTTCATAGGTCAAGAAATTCAAGGCAATCATTTCGAGCATCTTCTGAACTAGCCTCAAGCATATTACCTCATATTATGTAGTTAAATGTCAATGTATTCAGGCAATTATTGAAAGATCCGCCATTTTGTAGTAGTTGCAGATATTGACATTATATTCTAGGGTTATGAAGCATTTGTCAGGAGATTCAGAAAGATGTGTCACAAGAACCCTTTTCCTTTTAGTTTTTTTCCCAGATGACGCCCAGTCGCCATCTTGAAAGTTTCATCTGTCAATTTCACTTCAAAATGAAGTATTCATGCATTAATTTCATTATCCCAAATTTCAATTTTTTGAGTTGACCCGTTCAAAAAATAAAAGGGGGGGGATTAAAGAAATGCACAGTACGTGAATATATGTTATGTTTGGAGTGTATTTTAATATTGTATATGTGCTGTATTTGTTTCCAAAGTATATATGTATATTTTTATAACTTTTCAATTGACGATTCTTATATCACTTTTTTATGATCTATGGTTGATAAATACTTTGATTGATTATTTTTCTAATTCATACATTCAATAAATTTATCCAAAAATGTAAAAAAAAACTCGAACTAGGTACCTCTTTTTAAAGTTCCGAGGACTCTCAAATGGGTTCCCACGATTTCTCACTCCACCGCATACTGCACTAAGTGAAGACGCCACTGGATGCAAGATGAGGAAAAGTCCCGTAAGAACTGTATTTGTCAGGTAACGGCTGCCTTCTCTGTTCGCTCACCTGGCGTGCAGTTTCGAATCAACAGGCGTTTAAGTTCTGTTCAATTCGCAACAATCAGTTGAAAAATGCAACACGGACCTTTGAAATCGTGACCGCTTCCGTACTGGCGATTGTTGATCGTTTTCGTGAGTTTTACTTCGATTGAGTTTATTCAGGTAAGTCGCATTTAACTCGTCTTCGTTTTTTTTTCTCATCAACAAATACGTTTCGAGATTTGTTGTACCGTTTTCAGGATTATCAGTGCACATATTCAAACGTTGTAAGGGTGGATTCAGATCAAAATCTCTGGGGTTAACATAAACTTCTGTCATTTCCCAACTTGACTTCAATACCCAAAGTAACATTCAGAAAAAATGAATATTTTCTAGGTCCAGATCCGGGAATTCTTTTTGATCAACGAACTATAAGATAATATGACCCTTTTATGCTAATGTAGTCATTGAATTTGAATATGAATAATTGATTTGTTAACCTATCTATATTATGTTAGTCATTAAAAGAATAAAATTTCACAAACATATCTTGGAAAAAAAACTTCCTCTCAAAAACTGAAATAATGAAAAATAATTCTTACAATTTAGAAAATGATAAGATTGGAATCAGCAATTATTTATTTCTCAATTTCCGATGTCTCATCATCATTTTTCAGAGAAACATAGGGTACATTCCTTCATGTCATTATCAGATCTGGACAAATATGGTATATGGTGTTTAGAACTGGTATGGTATAGAACGACGAAAAAACCAATACAAAGAAATAATTCCGCTACGAATTAGTCCAGGCGGACTGAAGAATTGGCGGTTCGTATTGGATAATTTTCACTAACCAAGTTTTATGATTGGCTGAAGAGTCATAAAATTAATTTTGAAGTCATGTTAAGGTGACCAATAGAATGTAGCGATGTGTATCACCGTTGTGTCGTCAATGTTCAGTTCAGGAACTGATCGCGATTTGAGAGTTGAAAGTCGATATTGGTGAAGTTATAATTACTTAAAATTTTTGTTATTTGTTTAGAATGTGGCGTCCTTGGACAAGTACTAATAGTAATAACCAGTGTGATAACAACGCAGCCTTTTTCCTGTGTAGTGATTCCAATAGCGCTGGTGAACAATGCGAAAAACAGATACCAGGAAATAAGATTCGGATGCATTTGAATATTGAACACAGAAAGTATGTTTCAATGTATATAAGAATCTACATATCAAGTTTGGTTTCGAGGGAAAAAGCTATTACAAGCAACATCAGATTTGACCAAAATTCCTTTCTCAACTGTACGTAAATTAGTCAAAAACAAACCTTATGAACGCAAGACGCGATGTGATGCGGGATTACCAAAACCTTCAGATGTTCATCTAATAAAACCATTAAAAAAACAATATAAGACCGTTACAAAAGCAATGAGATTCCTACAATTGAAATCATAAGGAAGAAATTGAATACCTACTTCCGGTCATAACGTGAGCTGCTGTGACAAAACTCTTTAGAACTCTCTAGAAAGTTAGCAGAAGAATAGTGGAATTGCGTAACAAATACTTAGAACAAATAACTAAATATAGACAAGAACAACGTCAAATTTTCTATTTGGATGAAATTTGGTATGACACCCACGACACAGTTACGAAAGGGTGGACTGATGGTTCGAGAATGTATACGCCTAACATGCCTGCAAACAAAGTATCGCGACAAGTACCGCATTGTGCATTGCGGAGGAAGTAAAGGATGGGTTCCGAATTCCTTGAAATTAGGTGGGAAAAAACTTGAGGACTGCAATGCCGACTATCATAAGAACATGGAAGCTAATATTTTCGAGAAATGGTTTGAAAACACATTCATCCCAAATTTGGATGCGAATAGTGTAATAGTTCTTGACAACGCTTCCTGTCATTCGCGGCAGCTCATCGAAGTACCGAATAAAAATCCGAAGAAAGATGAAATACCAAGTTTTTTAATGGATAAAAAATTGTATTTTGAAGAAAACTATACCAAAAACCAACTACTTGAAGTTTTACAGACGAAAACATTTGAAAAAGTGTATGCCCTTGAGAGTATTTCTGAAAAGTATAGACACACCATATTGAAACTTCCCCCCTATTTTTGTGTTTTCAATCCCATCGAGTTGATTTGGGGAAAATTGTAAATTCGGACCCACCTATTCAGACTTCAATGGAGAGAAGATTTAAGTCTTGGGTAGAAATGGTTACACTCTGATTGTTTCACCGCTGGGTGACAGGATACCACGTGACAATATGGTGTACTCTGGTTGACTTGGTGATCTGTCTCCCTTTTATGTTGAGCTAAGGGGTTACCTGGCTGATGTGATGACGTCACTGTCTGCCTGAACCGACGTAAAGTCTATGTTGTCTATGTAAAGTAGGTGAACAAAGAGATTTCTGGCTCCAATGATGCAACTCCTATAGAGTTGCATCATTTTTTAATTCTTTACGTCGAGTTGATACAGCTCCTCTCGAGTCCACTTCACTACTCCAAATAAGTAGAGTGAGAGTAGAACGGCAAGCATATTCGTTACAGCAATTTTGTTGTTCCCCCACAGTTTCATTGACCAGATCTGTCGGAGTTTGTGCTGATACTTGCCACTGTTGTTCCCTCTTGTGAGTAGCGCTGTTTCACCCGAAGTGAGAATATGTCTCTTCGAAATCCAGAGGGTGCAGAATACTGCCATCTACGGGCTGCACATCCTCTCCAACGGACCGTTGCACATTTGTCTATCCCAAATTCTATATCGACAGCATGTGTGTGTACTCTTCCACCACACCCAAGGACTGATGGAGATCCTTCTCTTCAGAGACATGAAGTTTAGAATCATCCATATGAAACAAATGGGTGACTTTGTGACTCCGGTTCCCAGGGATGCCATAATTATACGCTCGAGTATCATTATTATCAGTTAGAGATTGATATTGCTGTGCTGACTATTGGCAGGATGTAAGAGAATGATGTAAACAACATGACCACACCTGTCTCGATATTCTGTAAATTTCGTAATGAATCCCGACAGAATCAAGATAAACATTTTTGTTGATTTTCTTTGCCGAGTTCTGTTTTTTTTCTGTGCTCACCCAATCGGTGAATTGAATAAAACATTTGCTCATCGGTGTCCAACGACTGTACTGAACATCTTCTGTTGTCGTAGTGGATTCACTTCATCACACGTGACGATCCAATCGAAAAAAGGATCGTTCTTTGTTGCGCAAAAGCAAAGAAAAACTTTATATTTGTTTTAGTTATCAAGTAAAAAAGTATGTGGTCATTTCATCACGAAATGATTCAAATTCTATATCATTTCAGGAAACATGAATATTTCAAATACCACTAAAATTGTATATCACTTCCAGGTCTTCGATTTATTGACATCCAGCTATAATTTTATTAAACTCTTCATTAAGGATACTAAACAATGAACAATAAAAACAAGAGAATTCTCCTAAACGGTAAATCATAAACCCATTGATGGCAAAATGATGGAGGAAACAATTAAAAATGATTCCTTCATTGTTTTGGATTTACATTGTGTTGGTTATGTATGTTTCCTGTGGGAAAAAATCATCTCTTGTTCGAAATCATGTTTTTTTTATGAACGATAAATACCTCGCGGAGAGTGAAAAGTAAAAGTATTATCTATCTTTGTATCAGTCTATAGATCGTAGTTCAAATATCTCGACTGTTAAAAATTCATGGAATTCTAATTAATTATAACTAATTATAATGACCTTTGATAAAGTTTACCCAAACGAAAGAAACTTCACAACTATCAATTTCAACATAGTCAAGCTTCTATCCACCTAAAAACAACTCAAAACAAAAATGCAACGTTGACTTCCGGAGTTATTCTTCATCACGCCTGTCGCCACGCCATTTTACATACAAATGTTTTATTTTGGTGTGAACATCTTTTTTTTTAATTTGGTCTAGGAAGCCATGATCACTGAAAAATATTTGGTTTGCTTCCATGATCTATGTGCAAATCAAATAAGTACTTTTTGTGATAACATTTGAACAATCAAATCCGCGACACGTGTCTCGCATAGCTTCCTCATGCATAAACTGAGAGTTACTTCTAAATTACAACCATTTTATACTCTGCCTAAATAATGAATCTACCTGAAAAGGTCAGGTATGAATTCATTAACTACATCAATAAATTTTTCGAAAGTATACCTGTAAATATACCTAACTATTTTTACTTGCAAATGAACAGATTTAATAATGGCGAATTATTCAATTCAGTTTGATCGTTCATTAGATGTTGAGAGTTTTTGAATTTGTTAATTTCCATACTCTTCAACAGGTTAAGTTTCAAACCTTTCTTCTGGAAATGGAGGGGCTTGTATTCATGGTTGAACTCANGAAACAAAGCCAGAAATTCACTTACAGATTAATATACCCTCAGGTCAAACAACCAGAAATCAAGAAATGGGTAACGCTAACATATTTTGGAAAAAGAACTGAGATAATTTCGGGTTTCTTCAGAGAAAAGGTGAACAAGTTGGAGAAATCTGGAGTTTATAAGCTTGAGTGTCCGGAGTGTAATAGTGTTTATGTGGGACAATGTGGCCGAAATTTCCAAAAACGGTATGTTGAATATGAAAGGTCCCTCGGACTAGGAAAAAATGATTCGGCGTTTTCAAACCATTCCTTGGCATGCACCCACAAGTTTCCAAATCTAAACGATACGGAAATTTTGCACTATGCAAGGAAGGATTATAAACTCAATTATGTAGAATCTTTGGAAATTCACAAGCATAAACATTGGGGGTGCAACCTGTTGAATGATCAAATCGATTTAGTTTACTCACCGATTTTCAAATTGGCAGATCCGCATTGTGACTGTAAATTCAGGTTCTCAATGAAGCCAAGTACCTGTATTAGGACCTACAGGGGTGGTATATAATGGCTAATGTAATGAATCATTGTTAGTTTATTGTATAAGTTTGAAAATGTCCGTATAGGACGAAACTGCAGTAACGTTAGTTACAAATAAAAGTGCTAAAAAACATAGAAATTTTCATTTCTCTTTTCATTATGATTTCCTACCTCGTAGTAAAGACTACGTCCATCAATACATCTAAATTAGTTTTACAATTTGTCTTATCTATTATTTTACAATTTATAAAACAATTTTCAGCTATATAAAAA